GCGATATACGCCCGATACGCGACAATATATACAAGGCCTCTGTCAATCCAGGCTCAGTACAGCAGATTACGCCCTATTTCCAGTAGTGTTCGCTACCACAGTAGTCTAGTCACTTGAACGGTCGTATACCTGACCGCCGCCAAGTTTACGCCTCTTATACTTTCTGTGTCGGGCTTCGCCTTGTCCGATGTTGCGAACATTCTCATTATCATGATTTTGTATGACTTCTGCTTGTTTCCTGCATAATTTTGTTATATAGTCATAAACGTACGGGATATTAAATGCCATGTGCAAATCGCGGACCGGTGTGCGCCTTGGAAAATTGCCAATGGTGCGGAGAACCTTGTTTTGCAGGCGCTGCAATTTCACTAGATGAGTGTCTGCCTCGAATAAGTCATTACGGTTCTAATGAGAGCTTTATGGAGGGTCATTTTAATGTCTTGTCGAAGTTGGACTGTTATATCCTGCACTCGGACTGAATAGGGAACACTCTGTCTTAAGGGTTAATTTCGCCCGCTGCTATGCACCGAATCTCTTGTTGCCGCGGAAATACGTGTCTGCCTTAAACAATTCGTTACAAATAACGGTGGAAACCCCACTGTTAAACTTTCATTTCCGGGGCAACGATTGTTAACCGTTCACCAGTGATGGACTTCTTATCGTCCGGCCTTCCTGGCAGCACGTCACAGTTATTTTGTACTTCATCCTGTGACGGAAGACATTCATATATTATGTAGGTCCACTTAATTTTGGAGCTAATCGTGTTCTTTAGTCAAACACTTTAATACGTTTTTTTCTTAAATTGGAAAGAAATGCTGGGAAGATTTCTTAAGTGTTGAAGTGTTTTGACAAGCTGTATTATCCTATATACTTTATAACTATGTTAAGCTTCAGACATCTGAGATCCAAGACGCATTGTTGTATGGCGTTATAACTGCAGGAAACTAACATTTCATCGGTAGTTGAAACTTTCTACAAAGGTCGCAGTTCTTACAACTGGTTTTGTCTTCATCACATTTATTAAAGTTGGCCGTGTTCAAATGGGGGCACGCAATAGCGTAGTTGGCTGAATCATTATGCTACATGGCGGAAGGTCACCGGTTCATTTCCTGAGGTCATTGGATTTTTAAATTTACCTAATGCTTCCAGCCGCAATATGGCCCTGGGGTCGACTCAGCCTCTAATAGAAATGAGTATCAGGAATCTTCCTGCGGGCAAAGGGCGGCTGGCGCGTAAGGCTGACAACCTTACCGTCATCTGTGATCCGACTGTCTAGAAAATGTGGGAGCCTCGACGTCTCTAAACCCTATGGGCCTCCACGGCTTGTTACAGGGATAGTTTTTAAGGTATATAAAGACGTACGAGTATAGTAAGCAAGCTGTATCGACCTCTGAGAGTAACCTGGAGAGTCTGTAACTTATATTGTATAGTTTCCCAGCACTGCACAGGCGGTAATGCAGTAATGCAGATCTGAGTTTCTGTGTCATCACATCAGACTGATGTGTATGTAAACGAATGGCACTCTAACCTGAGATTTTCTTACAGATATTAAACAGGCAGCCCAAACCAAATGGTTTTTCCTTGATGCACCAAGGTCGCGGGTTCTTATCTAATAATGGAGACTGTCTGTCCTGCTTAAAACTCTAGCTGATTCCCTCACTGACCAGGCAAAGACAGAATGATATTTTAAAATATCCCGCTCGGGTTTCCTTCCACATCTTTCACATGATATCATTCTGCAATCATATGAATATTATCTACGGAAATGAAAACATATCTTTCAATAAACTACAATATCAGTTGATGAAAGAGCGCTCACCGCTAGCTTCAGTAGATATATTTGTCATTCATTGTAATTAAATAAAAAGCTGCATCTGTAACTGTCATAATCGCACATTTTGTGCGTCCCAATGATGTTTCTTTCAGGCTACATTATATATTTTTTCTTTATGGTTTATTTTACGGCACTTTTAGTAGTTCAGGTTGAAATGCGTCGAATGATGGAATGGTTAATGAATAAAATATTGGAAAGGACGTGACAGGAGACGGCCATGAACTAAATTGAGATGACTTCCTGTCATTATCCCGGAAGGAATGTGGAAAACCAGGTCAACCGGTCTCCGAGTCGGGATTTGAAGCCGGATACGAAGCAGGTGTTCGGCCTCAAACAGAGCCCACAATGGCTTATGTATGTAATTGTTTTATTATATTCAAGTTAATTTTTTTTTTTTACTGTTCCTCTTTCCATTGATCTCTTTTTCCTGTCATGTATTGTTGCGTATGATTTCCGTTTCCCACTTGTAATGAACGTTGGTCTCCTGAAGACTCTCACCGAACGGAATTGTATTAAATTATGGGTGCAAGTCCATAGAACTGTTCTCTCTCTCTCTCTTTGGACCTTGGCGGCTTTTTCAGTTTCTTAATGTGTACATGGTAGGAACCCTTGGACCAGGGATCAGCCCGACGCAAGGCCGCTACCTACACACAGAATAAACACACAGGCACCTATGCCTCGAGTAGAATTCGAACCCACGACACCACTTTCGAGCGGGCGAAGACGGGTCATGCCTTAGACCGCGCGGCCACTGTGATCGATCCCATAGAACTATTTGGTCAGTTTAAATGAAGTAGGTTAGGACGAGCTGAGCGAGCGTCTAGCAAATGTCTCGTGAAAGTCTAGGGCATACCTTGGAGGAAAATGTTTTCATTGATTATGAACAAGAGCTTTATTTAGGTTCATTCTAGTCCAAGGCCCGGTGGCCAGTTTCTGCCTTTCCGGAAGTGCAACTTCTTTGTGCAATGGAATTGCAAATTTACGTACGTCCTGAGGGCTTTTACCTGTATCCAATCTCAAGTTCGGCAACATTCCTGCAGAAGTGTAGGTCTAATGAGAATAATTTGAACTAACGTTTTCAGTGGGGCTGCATTCATTCTTTCTCAAACTTTGTCCAGAGTTAAAAATTTAGTTGTTATTTTCCGAATCCACGTGTTCCTCTACTGTGCCGGGCAAATAAGAACATCGATGACAATTTTTTTCCCCCTTGGCACTACAGCCCCAGTGGGCCTAGGCCTACCTCCATGAACTTCTCCGTTCACTTCGGTTTTTCTAAATCTTACACATTCGGTAGGACTCCTTGGGCGGGTGATCTGCTCGTCACAAGGCCTCTACCTGTACACAAACAGAGAAACGCGCACACACAAACTAAACATCCATGCCCTAAGTGGGATTCGAACCCACGATCCCGGTTTCCAAGCGAGCGAAGACAGTACATGCCTTTGACCGCTCGGCTACCGTGACCGGCCGATGACAATTACAACAAATAATTCTATGATTGTCCACCAAGTTTCTGACTTAAGGACTACTCTGTAGGGTGTTCCGTTTCAGTGATCGCTCATCCTTGGAGCTAAGCCCTTCTTTAGAAGCCGCCAATTGTGCAGCTACTCACGAACTTCCCAGCATTTTATAGAACCCGAAGTTTCATAACCGTGTCCACAAGAGCCCTCAACTGTTCCCTACCCTGAGCCAGGCAAATCCGATCCATACCATCCCATTCCATCTATCTAAGATCCATTTTAATATTGTCCACCCGCCTACGCCTTGGTCTTCCCAGTGGTCTCCTTCCTTCTGGCTTTCCCACCAATATCCTATATGTATTCCCTTTCTCTCCATTCATGCTACATGACCCGCCCATCTCACCCTCCTTGACTTGATCATTCTAATTATACTTGGAGAAGAGTACAAGTTATGAAGCTCCTCATTGTCCGTTTCAGTGCTAGATATGAAAATATGAACACTAAAAATTTGGGTGGTGGATAGGCCTTAAGGACTTAGTAGAGAGAAATTCGGATATAGATCGACAACCCGAAGAGGATTCGAACCCGCGATCTGAATATTCGAATGGTCCAAGATCGTGTGCACCATACATCACATGGGCACTGTGATAAGGTGAGAAATAGATTTCTGTCATGTAAGGAATCGTGTACTGCCTGTGTGATGCAGGCTACCGTGGAGGTCTATCTCCTGGCATCTGTCCGTCTTGTCATGGCTTATCAGTGCTCAGCTAGCTTAGACCGAGCAGATAAAGTGGACTCTTTCCCGTCATATCCAATTTCGTTTATCTGAGCAATTTATCTGCTTGAGGGGACAGCCTGCTACTGCTTCAAAGTTTTCTCTCTTTATAATTTTAAGTACCTGGGATGAATCTATGAGGCTTTTACCTCTTCTTGGTGCTTGCTTAGGAGTGTGATTATCACCTTGAATTCTGAGTACGAAAATCAAACCGTAGGGACAAAGACCGTGGCTACAACTTGTTTCAGGCACAGTAGGAATATTCCGACAACGGCCTTTGAATACACGACCACGTCTGAAGTATGTACAAAGAGTGATTGAAACAGACAAGTTCCGCGCGTTTCTCATGTTACTAGTAACTGCTAACCTACAAACAATATTTTATACAAGATGTGTAGGTATATTTATGAACAATTTCCGGACCAGATTTCATTAGCATCGCCGTCTGGAAATGTTCTGCATTTGCGGGTTCTTGTTATTTTACATTTTACAAAAACGGCATTTCCGTTGCATTTTTTCAGAACATTTATGGCATTTCAGGATCGTAAATTACGTGTCACTATTGTAGTTCCAACCTCATATTACAGCACACCGGCCGTGTTGATATTGCTGATTGTGGAAAGTTATAAGATATCACTGAGGTGGCCTCCAGTGGCATACCAAATTTTGTAAAAATCAGTCGACTGATTCCAAAGTTGAAATGAGGCGATACATACAGAGACGCAGAGCACACTTACACACACGGTGACAGATATAATGATTTCATGAGTTTAATTTTTCTTCTTAAGGAAGGAAAGCGGGCTAAAAGTGATCGAAACAGCCATAAAATTAAACCCATTTGTGAACAGCGCCAACATAGCTGGCATGCATACTTCCGATCTGCTGTGTGTGCTGCGTACCACGGATGGACGCACAGTAAGCTAAGACTGACCTGTATTCTCGCCGTACCCCGCAGATGCACCCACTGACCCGCTCTTCACCCCCACGCGGTCCTGCGACAGAAGATAGTGCCAAGTAGGAATGTAGCTCTCAGGGTGCCAGCTGGCCTTTCACTCCAGTTTTAAAAGGCAAGATTCACAAAGAGAAAGGCGTTGCTGCTACAACTTTCGGTTTCGTAGCTTCCTGAACCTGGCTCCAACACGTTCTTACGTTCTTTCTTGTCTTACTGAACATCCTTGTACTCGCATTGTGGACCGTTATGGACTGCGTGGGTTCTGTAGCGCCACTCGTGATGGCTGCTGTCTCAGTCAACAGTCTAATGCGAACTTCACAAATACAGTTCACAAGATCTTCTGCAGGCTTTGTGTAGCTTTAAACACGAAAACCATTAACTGGAATGGGGTTTCCGAACTTGACCTACGAAACCGAGGATTATTCAAATTTAGCAGAAGGCAACGTGATGATGATGATGATGATGATGATAATAAAAGTAGTAGTAGTAGTAGTAGTAAATAGCGACAAGAAATGGATTGAACTCAAGTAATGCTTGCTACCATTCAGTCCAGAACCTTTTGCCTTCTCGTCTGCTGTCTAAAAACATAAAAATAAGAATATACAAAACTATAATTTTTCCTGTGGGTTTGTACGGGTGTGAAACTTAGTCTCCGACATTAAGGGAGGAACATTGCCTGAGGGTATTTGAGAACAGGTCGTTGAGAATATTTGGACTGAGCGAGATGAAGTGACAGGAGGTAGGAGGAAACTGCATAATGAGGAGCGTCATAATTTGTACTCTTCTCCAAGTATAATTAGAATGATCAAGTCAAAGAGGATGAGATGGGCAGAGCATGTAGCATGGGTGGGAGAGAAGAGGAATCCATATAGGATACTGGTGTGAAAGCAAGAAGGAAAGAGACCACTAGAAAGACCAAGACGTAGGTGGGTGAAGAATATTGAAATGGATCTTAGTGAGAGAGGAACCACCTCTGTGGTCTAGTGGTCAGAGTTCCTGCCTACATATCCAGAGGTCCGGGTTCGATTCCCGGCTCTACCAGATTTTCTGAGAAGTAGTGATTCTGGAACGGGGTCCACTCAGACTCTTGATGATAACTGAGGAGCTATTTCAAGGAAATAGCAGCTCCGGTCTAGAAAACCGAAACTAACAGCCGTGAGGATTCGCTGCGCTGATCACGCGACGCACTCTATCCGCAAAAGTTGGCACTCACTTCGCCGACAAGCGGCGGTTGCTCGATCGGTATAGTTCGCTTGCGAACTAATATCACGGAGTTTGTTTGTGTGTTTTGTTCTTAATGAGGTAGGATGGGATGGCATGGATTGGATTGATCTGGCTCAAGATAGAGACCAGTGGAGGGCTCTTCTGAACACGGTAATGAACCTTCGTGTTCCATAAAATGCTGGGAATTACTTGAGTAGCTCTACAGTTGACGACTTCTCAACAAGGGCTCAGCTCCGTGATTGATTGAGTGAGCGAGCGACATGAAATGTCCTTTTGCCCGTGAATTCTCTACACAACCCAAAGGCCCATAACATGTTGTAACCTCAAGTTAAACGATGCAATATTCGTCACTTCAAATTTTATCTTAAAAGTAAAACAGCGACATACCGACCACGTGAAATATACTTGTTTATATTGCTGAAAAATTAGATATAACCACATTACATGCGCCAAAATAATACATGAAAAAATATAAAATATAAATTCTGAAACTATATAAGTTGAAGTATCAATACAGGGTTATTCATAAGTCCGTGAAACATTTTAAAAATTCACAAGAAATAAACTATGCATCGGGAGCATGGCAATTCTTACGCCGATAGAGAATGAATCTCTCCCAGTTTCTTTTTGTGCCGCCATTCCCTGCTAATCTCAGGGATCTTAGCAATCGTATCCCCGCTGCTGTAGCCCTGGTCAACCGTGATATGCTGACACGGGTGTGGGAAGAAATGGATTATCGCATAGATGTCTGCCGTATGAGCAAAGGTGGATACATTGAGCATCTGTGAACTGTCTAAAAAAACTTGGTGAGTTTATCTCTATTTCAGTGTAATAAAATTTGGTATCCGTTGCGTAGTTTATTTATTGTACATGTTCAGAATGCTTCACAGACTTATGAATAACACTGTACAATAGTTACGCTTCAAGCTTCTAACGGTTTTGTGAATCTGTAGAGGAAACTCGTGAAGTTTCGCAGTAATGTGGATAAATGAGACAAGCATTCCGGCAATTTTTAATTTTCAATATAACATCATATACTGGTTCAAAGGACAAGGCTTCATTAGTATAATTGCTATATCAAAGGAATATCTAATTAACATACACACTGTGTACAGTACAGGTAACTTTACAACAGTCATGAAAATTTCTCAAGTCCGTTAGGGCAGTTGTACTATTAATCATTATATGCCAGAAAAATACATTTAAATGCAATGTTCATTCGCTCACGAACTACAGTTTCCAAAATCGCTGTGTGAGAAATGTTACACTCTGTAGTGGGATTCTTCTTCACAACTAAAACGCACAAAATTGGGTACATCACTGGAGGACTCTACTCCTGTGCTTCTACCTGCAGAGTGATGTACGTACCGCCTCACGTGGCTCGCTCTCAGTCCAAAACAAAACGGAAACATCTCGGTTACGTAACTAACAGTTTTGGTTTATATTCCGAGGCCAAATGAATCGTCATCCCCTTTTTAAAATGGAGGTGAACTGAACAACCTTTCCTTAAGATTGTTAGGTGTGAAATCTTGTATTACTCCTACACTGTGAACACTGTCGAACCGTCCTCTAAAATCCGTCCAACTGCAGTTTCTGCGTCATTTTCGTAATAGTTGTTCTTTTCCCCTGGCATGAACGCCGTCTGCATGGCGTGCAAAAGAAAGGACCAACAAATGTCACAGTGTAAAAGTAAAACTGCCGATCACAGTGGCCGCGCGGTGTAAGGCATGAACCATCTTCGCCCGATCGAATATAGGGGATCGTGGGTTCGAATCTCACTCGAAGCATGGATCTCTATGCGTTTATTCTGTGTGTAGGTGGCGGCCTTGCGATGGGCTGATCCCCGTCCAAGAGTCATACTATATACTCGTATAGATTAAGAAACTGAAAAAGCGGTCAAGGTCCAAAGGGCTGTAAGACCATAGAGAGAAAGAACAAAGTTGTCCCTCTGCTTAATTAATCAAACAACACGCCATAGAAACATATGGGGGAGTGGAGGTATAGCTCCATCATTCTTGATCTCGGCACTACATGTAAGTGAGTTGTCAGCCTCACGCACCGGCTGCTTTATACCCAGAGAAATAATCCCCAGTGATCACTGAATAGAATACCTGGTGTCCCCAGATCCGGCATTAACGCTGTGGGGTAGAGAAAATTCTCTTGCCCGTGCCGGGAACCGTACCTCGCCCATCCAGCCCTCAGCTCGTCGCTATGCCGACTAAGCTACACCGGAAACTCACCTCCATTAATGTCCAGGTCAAGAGTGCTGGAGCTCTACCTACATTCCCACACATATCTTCTTGGTATGGTGCTTAATTATTTAATCACAAGAACAAGTGACAGCACATGTTTGCGTATATTATTTTGCAACCTTTGAGACTAAAATCGAACCTAAAAGGCAAAGCATATTTCTTGAAAATCTAAGCACTCTATTGATGACATTTTGTATTCAGGAGTGTAAAATGTTTGTATGTTGGAATACTCTCATTCAGTGCAGTCACACAAGCAAATTAAAACAAATCAAGAGGTATAAACTCATTAGCCATACCATCTTAAATGCCTGTAATAAACAGCAGTGTTTATTGCGACTGTCTACAATTCAGCGAATTTCCGCTTCCTGGGCAAATGCAATGACCCGATATGCAGGGTGTTTCTCAACATCTGACTGTACAATTTGTGTAACTTCTAAGTTATTGAACGCAATTGTAGATATATAATATATATATATATATTTTTTTCGCAAATCGTTCGACAAAGTTGGGACAATTAGTTGTTGCCTTGGTAACGCTAAACTGAATAAGAATATGGCGTCATGTACGATGGATCAGGAAGTGTTTGTTTTCAAAATGTTCACATCCTGGCAGTTCTTGCGCTGCTGTGAGAGTTTTCTGTTCGTGATGCACTACCGAGAGACACTACCTACCGAATTATTGGACAGTTTGAAGAAACTTGAAATGTGCGTAATAAACGTGAGAATGGGCGTAAATTTAGCACATCTGTCTGAGAAGTAGGGGGTCTGGAACGGGGTCCACTCAGCCTCATAAGGATACTTGAGGAACTGTTTCAAGGAAATAGCGGCTCCAATCTAGAAAACCGAAATTAACGACCGTGAGGATTCATTGCCCTGACCACTCGACACCCTCTATCAGCTAAATTTGGCACTAACTTCACCGAAAAGCGGCGGTCGCTCGGTCGGTATAGTTCACTTGTTGACTAAAACCACGGGTGTTTTTTTTTGTCTGTACCGAAGTTGTCGGTGCAGCAAGGGAAGCAATAACAAGAAGCACATGAAAAGTGTGCGACATTTAGCAGAACGAATTGGGGTCTCAAATAGCACTGCATGGAGAATCTGTTTGTGATGACTTGTTGCTTCCTACAAAATGTAGCTGAGTCATCCATTGTCGGAAGATGGGATAGCGAGACGTTACCCTTCTGCGAGGGAGTAAGAGCGCTATTGGTGGACAGTTCGATGTGTCTTGAGTGTCACTTGGTTTTTTGCTGAAGCACACTTCCACTTGGATGGTTACGTTACAAGAAAAGTGTCCGAATTTTGACCTAAGAGAATCCAAGTCTTGCCGTTGCCATCCCACTGCATCTAGAAAGAGCTACAATACTGTATGAGTATGCCTTATCGGTGCCGGTTTCATCAATGGTACAGACACTTCCGCTATTTAACTCAGTCTACTGATTCAGGAATTTGTTCCATGCCTGTTGGGATATGGTGCCAGACCTCAAACGAACAATGTCATACTTTGCTTGCTTCGTGACATCTTCGAGGAGACAGTTCTGTCGAACAGATATCCTGCGCTGTGTGAG